AAGCTTACCCATGTTCCATTTAACATTGCTTTTGTTCCATACCTTAGTTCTTCAACAGAGAAAATCAGGAGGAGTTGGCCAGGCAACTCAGTGTGCCTTCCAAAACTGGCCTATTAATCTTCACACTAGTTATGGTCACCATACCCAATGGGCCTGACAGTTTAAAGAATAAAATATAAATAGCAGGCCTGCCTGTGTTGTTAAAGCCAGCCATTTCTGACAGTCTACACAATGGGATAAACACTGTCTGTCTGCAGTCCCCATGTATTTGAAAGCTACGACAAACATTTTACTGCAATGTAAATAACTGACATCAGGACTGTTGAAGCAGGAGGCAGAAAAATCTATCTCAAAATCACAAACCCAAAAACATTGCCCGACACAAAACAAACCATTAATGGTCACTGAGAGAGCACGTTTTAGAGATCATAAGCATCGTATTAAAACGTGGCTGTCAACAGCTCAGATTCACACGTTTTTCAGTTACAAAACTACACCTTCTCTAAGGAAGTACATTTTTTTCCCCCTGAAATCTGTTTTGAGTAAGGATACTATCCCTGAATTAGTAACAAAAGTAAGTATCTTGAAACTGATTCTACTGAAAAGCAGCTACTTTTAGATTTGTATGAAAAGAGCTGGTAAGTTACTACAAGCACCGTGGCCCAATTAATAAAAGCCTCCTACTCTCCTGAATCCATTTTACTTCTACACTTTAACAACTTGAATTTGCGCTCCCCATTATTTGCTGGGATTTTTACAGCACCTAGGGAGTGTGAGGGAGGTTAATGACACAGCTGCTCTCAAAACTCTACAAAGTTATAGCACATTTTACGAACACCAGAACCAGTGGAATCTTGTTTGTTAGAGCTCTGTGCTTCATGATGGACATGGAGCTTAAGCTGTAAGGTTTGCTTACGCTGGACAGTTACAAAACCTTCCCCTATGGCTGCAGCCCTCTCTTCAGAAGCGTGTGTGTAAGATCTTCTGTCAAATCACATGGGCAAAGGACTTTTAAAACCTGGATCCCCCTCAAAAATCCCTCTAAAAATGAAATTTTGGGAAGAACTTTAGGGAAGCAGTGTCAGCAAGTCTAAGGATGACCACCTGAGAGACAGTAACCTCTGACTCAAGCCAGGTTCACAGCCTTAGACAGGTATAGGCTTCAGCCAGCGTGAAGTCTAATGTCTATGCAGTAGAAAACGATTTCAGGATTTTAATTAGTAAATCTCTCCTCTATACACAGAGGGAAAGAAATAATATAAGCAACAGCAACTTAAAACTGTACCCGTAGTCACACTAATAGGATAGACAGCTTTAAATATACTGGTTTCTGGTTCCCTATCCAGGATATTTCAATATGAGCGCTCCAGTCAAACCTGAGCAGTTAATCCGGAATTCCTTGCACAGCTGAAACACACTGCTGCCCTCAGTGATGGATATGCAAAATTAGTCCATCAAAGAATGAATGTGTATAAAAACAGAAGAACAGTGGCAGAAAAACTGCTTTAGCCCTGCAGTTTCAAACATCAGCGCTGCCTTCTTTAAGAGGATACATGAGTTCCTCTTTTAGCATCAAAGGCCCATTGATGGGAGACCTTAAACTGAATGTTATCAATCTTATTAAGAGCTTGAAGAGTCCCGTATGACTATCTGCCAACACCAGGCCAGGCCTTTCTGGGCAACATATGCATGCATTTTGCTGTTGTGTCTCTGTGTGTGTTTGGGGTTTTTAATACACTTTTAAATAAAGTAGAGGTGAAAGTGACTATCTCTTCTCGCTGGGACTTCTGCCAGAAAGGATGAGAGACTGCACAAAACCCAAGGACTACCTTCCAGCTGTCAAGAGCCCACCCAAACAAGCACCTGAGCAGTCCATGTTGTAGGTACACCTCGAGGATGGCACACCATCAGGATTTGTGCCTCCTGCTTGATGTTACTAGCAGAAGCAAGGACACATGACCCGAGGGGTTCAAATTTATTTAAACTGGAACGACATTGTGATTTATAGCTTTATAGTACCTTTCATGCTTATTTAATTAAAATGCACATGAACCACAGGCTGTATGCAGTTAATGGCCGTACTCCACGTTAGATCCTCAAAACCTGCACTTCAACTTGCTTACTTGCAAATACCTGCCTGGCAGAGGGTTCAATAGCCCTACTGAACCACCAGCAGCCCTAGCAGTTGTAGAGCTTCAGCCAAGGTAAGCCAGTGTGGACAGATCAAGAAGTGTCTGGAGATCTAACAACCACTTGCAGAGCAATTCCTCTTTTGTTTATTAGCACTCAAATCATGCATTGGATTCAAAGTGAAAGGTGTAGATTGTGCTGTGCTGCATGGGGAACAGGCAGCAGCCTGTGAGTTCTGCGTTCACTGTGAAGTGGGTAAGGTGCTACAGCAAACAGACAAGACTTCAGAAATACAGTGGTTAAGAGCTATCTGTGCCTCAGAGACAGATCTCTCAAATTCAAGTATCTAGAAGATACACAAAAACCTTGTAGTTTACATTAAACAAACTCTTCTTGCTATACTGGTGAAATGACTTAGCCCCAAGTGCAGACCGCTTATGTCCAGCAGACCAGGAAGACATGCCAAACAAAAGCAAGTTTGACCTCAATAATCGTGCAAGCATACCTCATCCTATAACGTTCCCACATTATAGAAGAATTCAGAAGTGAGAAAAAGCCTCGTTCATTACCATGAAACTCAACAGATTGAGAGTACGTCCAAAAAGGAATTGTCAGTCTGATTTGATCGTCTGCTCTATTCTGTCTAAGCCCCAGTGAGACAGGACTGCCCATCTTTCCTATGCGGCTTTTTATGATTGAAATCTGCATAAATAATACACCTCCATTCTTTAATGCTGTTTTAGCACAGTCATGGAATTTCTAATGAGCTGAATAACCCTTCCTTCTTGTTGGGAAATTTAATGGCATTTATTTCCCTTATTTGCTGTTACCAACAGCTGCTCAGCATTTTATTTCATGGATTGTAAACCAAAACTTTATATTCCGGTGAGACTGTATAAGTACATTTTTCTGTTAGTGTAAACTACTAACAAAAGAAAAGAAGGGTTTTTTGGATCAATTTTATACTCTAATACTTTTGCCCGACTTCTCCTGAGCCTGAAGAATTTCTAGTAAGTGGCAAGGATCTATCGTAGTGAACTCTGTCCTCCCTCAGGGCAATTCTTTATTCAACCCAGGCCATTAGCAAGGGTAAATCAATGTTATCAGCTCACACACGCTGACAGCTTGTGTGGTTCCCACTCCCTCATTCCTCTCTCCACATTATGGTATATTTTTATGCTCTCCAGGGAAATTCAATTAACAGTGTCAGTCTCCTCCTCCCAGTCGATGACTGACACCATCAAGATTCTTTTCACTGCCCATTGACATGTAAGATGTGTCTGCTGATTTCCTGACTCCCAAGTTAACAAGAGAATTACTATTCACTTCTATAAATGACTATGTATGATCTGTGCCGTAAACAGTGACAGCTACTGAAATCAATCTTTTCTGACCTTATTGATTAGGACGCTTGGATATAATAATACTTCACTACTGGCTGAGTAATGTTTTGTGGGTAAAACTCCAAACCGACAACAAAATAATGCATGTCTATTAATACTATCAAATTTACCTTTTCATTCCTCACTGCAGACTCCACAAGCAGTAAAATGTTATGAACAATCAATGATTAACATTTAGCTGCAATTCGTGTCTCATTTAAAAAGAAAATGTCAGAAAATATCTACTGCTGAGAAGCTGGTCGCAACACCACTTTCCCAAACCAGTTTCCAATAATTATTTAGATAACATTCAAAATAAATTCACTTTTTTATAGGCTTCATTCAACAACATTATTTCTGCATTTTGAAATAAATAATGAATTTTTCAATTATTAACAAACACACTGCAAAAATCTGAAAATGTCATCACTCTTTTAAAAACACTATTAAACTTGATCAGCAGCTCAAAGTTTCTAACAGAATACATGTCTGAATATGCATCCCAGGCAGCATTCAGTATTTAAAAGCACATGCTATTAGCAATTATGCTCCATATTGACTGAGCTGTGGAGAGCATCAAGCAGAGCACTCATCTTCACAGAGACCAATTCGGAACCACAATGATGCAACCCTCTCCTCAGATTTCATTAATTTGATTTCTCTTGAGAACTCATTTTCGTGATTACAGATACAAAAGAGAAGTATTTTCTAATGGTTAAAGAGAGAAAGAAGCATAATGTTCCATCTGAAAACTCAAATACTGTGGTCCTAATGGAACATAAAACCCCATTAAAAGACACAAAGCACTCTGGCAGCATACTGACCATGAAGAAACAGTAAAAAAGATGCAAATGCTATGCTATCAATTATAAAAATCCAACATTTACCATGAACCAAGACATGCTTTACAAACACAGCACTCTGAAAAAGCTCAAAACATAGAAATATCCCATACACATCCACATAATAACTTCATCCTACAGACCTACCGGCTTAGCTGTACTCGGGGAAAACTCAACAGATTTGTACTCCTTCAAGACTCAGCCATAACCCCACAATATGCTGGCTGTGACAGCAAAGCTGCTCCAATTCTTCCCACTGTTCTCTGCTAATTGTGTAGGCCCCTTGTAAAAGCTGTTTGTGGGTATGCACTATAAATTGGACTGAAAAGGCCCAGGTTAAAAACAACCCTGATGATAATAATGGTTTCCACTACTTCCCTAATGAAGTCATTACCCAGATAATCCAGCATCATTCAAGCATGTTTTCAGCACTTCTGCAAAACTGCCTATATAAAATCTGATGTCTAAACAGAAAAGCATCCACTGCTTCAGTTACCACAGAAAAGTGTAATAGCAGACAGTGCTTGTTACACCAAGGTCATGTATTTATCAACACATCCCAACACATTCCCAAATCCAAACCGGTGACATTTGAGGGCAACATGGCTCAGGTTAATCCTAAGTTATATAGTAATAATTACAATACCTGTTTTTCCAGAATACGAGAGATCTCTCCTAAAGTCCTGTCCAGCGCAGGAACCTTGTTGTTCCCCAGCGAACAGCTATCCTGCATTTGGAGGTGCTTTATAAGGTCTTTTGCTAATCGTTGTAACCTTCAATATTAAACAGAAAACAAAGAGCAGTTAAAGCAAAAACTCTCCTGATAATGTGAACTTTTGTCTTCGTAATCAAACACTGCTAAATGAATGTTAATAAAGTAATCACGAAAATCCGAGTGGAAATATTAATACTAAACAGCATGTAAAATATGCAATACAACAAGGACAGTCAGCTTGGAGTGTCTGATATTTCACTATCTACTTTTTCAGGGAAATGGCACAGAAACACTGTGAACAACACAGCCATGAAGATGCTTCTTTACTAGCGACATGTTTGTTTCTGTTGTTGTTCAATGCAGTTCATTCCCTATTCTCCCTCCACAGTTCATCCTGCTAGTTTCTGCCATCTTCATTTTCAACATGGTTTTATCCTACTTTTCTTCCATCACTCAACCGTTCCTCCTACTTAGCTGAGTAGTTCACTCTTGAGATGAGTAAGGGAAAAAGAACAGCAGATTACCTGGCTAATTTCTTACAGGCATCATAAAAGAAATGGCTCTTCGGGGTTATGTGAATGAGTGAAAGGCAGTGACCTTGCAGACTACCTCAGAAAGGGCATTTAATTAACAAGGGTCAGTAATGAAGCCAAAATGCAGAGGTGGGAGTGATAGAGCCACACATGGGTTAGGATTCATTTTAGTTTTACACATCCGCCTCTGGGCTATTCACCTATGCTCTCCTGCTAGATAGTGAGGAGAAATACAGAGTTCCAAGGCACCATTCAGCTCATCCTGAAGTATAAAATAGAGCACTCCAAACGCACTCACGCTTTCTCCTTCTTTACCTTGAATGGGAAGACAGTAACTACCTCTGATGTAGACTTCTGCATCTGTAGATGCATTAAGGCAGATGATTAAAATGCTGAAGTCCCTTAACTGGGGACTGTGAGAAGGAGCAAGGAAGTACGTTCAGTATTTGTCAATCGCTGCCTTAATATCTGCTACTGGCTGCTCTTAATGACAGGCTCAGTGTCTGGTAGCCCTTCGGGGTTCGACCATTTCAGCAATTTCTACTGGAAGTGGAACGAAGCTGGTAATTGAGCAGGATGAGTGGGAAAAATACTGTTGTGACTAGAAGCAAACACAGGTCTACCGGAAGGAAGAGAGGGGGGAAGGATATCAACACTTATCATAAAATGGGAGATGATCAATGTAAAACGGCCAGGAAGCATTCACAAAGCGACCACGGAGTAATGGCAAAGAGAAAATTACATGAACTTCTCTGAGAAAAGAGAAAGGATGGAATGTCTTGGGAATATACCACAATAGTCACAGTAGTAAAAAAACAGTAAGATCAGAATATTCATTTGGGGCAAGAACAGAGAGTTTCCACTTAATCACAGGGAACAGGTACCCTACTCCTCTTCTTTTTAAAAATCAAAAGCTTTGTTAAAAGCTTTCAAGAGACTCTGAACAAACATACATGTTTTTAAAGTGCAAATAAAAATGAGCTGCAGAATTTTGAGTTCTGGACTTCTTATCATCTGGTCAGCTGAATCCACTGACAGTCAGCCAGAATTTTTCTATGACAAGAAAAATAAAGGGAGATTACGTCCTGATGAGATTTTCTGCACTGCTATTTCCTATGTGGGCAATGAGGTTGGAGGAAACCTCTGTCTAATTCAGAGAGCCACGAGCTAAAATGGGAAACAAAATGAAAAGCCAAAACACAAATAACTGGAGGACTTGGGCAGTAGAACAGATGACCACTAACTGCTGAGTGTAAGGAGTGGATTTGCAGCACCACTGGAAAGTAGAATTGCTGCAGTCCAGACAGATGATCTAGAAGCAGAGTATCTCAGGTATCTTCACAGAATGTCATTTACAGTGGTGACTACCTCGGCAGCATCCTAGCACATTAAGCAAAAAAGAGTTTCTCTCTTTGAAACATCTACTCAAATTCCATGATTAAAGCATATATAAGGCACTGAAAAAAACCCCATCACACCGTATTGTAACTTCATCTGATAGAAGACAGCAAGACGGGTTTCCATTTGGCTTCATTTAACATCAGAGGAATGGAATTCAACTAGGATTAACCACAGGGATGAAGAAAGGGACTTTCCTAATCTACATTAAGCATCAGCATACAAAATGTGTAAGGTTTATCAAAACACTGCTTAAAGAGAAAATAACCATATTACATTGTTACTTCTGTCAACAAATTTTCTTTTTTCTCTTCAGTCTATAAAGATGCTACTTAAGTTAAAACTCCTGTTTGGATTCTGCCCTCAGTTAAAAATGCTGTACAACAACTTCCCTCTCCAGGAAAAGCTCCAGCTCTCCATTTCTTCTGAAAGCCTGTCTGGACGCTTTCACCAAAATTCAACATTTCTAAAGGTGTGTTCAGCATCACACAGCCAGAAACAAGAAGAATAAATTTTTGGTTCTCCCACATTAAAAATTACCTCTTACATCCCCTTGTCCTGCTGCATGTTGGTCCTCTGCCAAAAAAAAAGGTAACATTTGCTACATAATCACAAGGGGAAGGGAAGTAAAAAGTCCCTCCCCCCACTGAGCGAACCCTGGAGAAATCATTTTAATTTAATATCCTTTATACTGGCTTCTTGGCAGTGTCAGAGACAAGAATAACTTTCTGCCTGTTTCAAAGCACCAGAAATCTATGCAAGATGACTTGTTCTTGGATATAGAATCTATCATTGCCACCAACAATTTGGAAAGAGAAAACTCTCTGTACATATCGTACTCCTTGTACACTCTGTGTGTGCGCTGTAGATGAATACAGCATGGTATCAACACCTGATCCAGCGACTATGTGGAAATACTGTTGAGTCCAAATCCAAACATTGCAGGATAATTAATCTTCCTTCTGTCCCCCAGTTTGTATTCCTCCAATGCTTACTACACCATACAGAGAATGATAAATAGCTGGAAATGTACAGGGCTAAATAAAAGGGAAAGTTAATGTCTTTTTATCTGAAGTTATTTACATCTCATTAATTAAGACTTTACTATTGCCACAAACAGATACTTCAGAATACAGAAGTAGTATCAGAAAGGACATAAGGCACTGACTGGTTTTAGAACGTTACCATAATGTCAACTTATATAAATAGTATGTTCAGCAAAAACAAATACTTCATCTGATGTGTCTGCACTGCCAATAGGAAAGTGAGGAATATTCCTGTTAAACGTTTATACAGCATATATATAAACAAAATTAAAACAAAGTATCGCCTGAAGTAAGGTTTTCTTTTTTGTGTGGGCTAAATATTTTTAGCTGGTTTAACACATTTTATAGGCTAAGGGAAAAAGATCTGTTCATATTTATAGCCCACATTTCATCTCTAGAAAAAAACTACCTTGAAATAGTAACATCAATGTATTTCAGCACTTCCACATTAAAATCCATGATTTCTTGGCTGTACACCGAATGTATGGAAGGAAGGATTAGTTCGACTGGGCAGAGTGCTGGATTCTGTGCAGTTCCTGTACGGAAGAAGCAGTTTCTCCTCCCGCACGTTCCTGCCGAGGGCGGCCAGATGCCAGCTGGACACATAGCCCCAATTCTTCCCCATGGAGCCTGTGCCTGGGGAGAACTGGGGAAGTCTGTGGCAGTTCCTGCCCAGCCTGAACTGGAGTTATGCTGAATCCCCTTAACGCAACATGCAGCTCCCGCAGTATTCCATACTGCCTGACGCCCCGCAGCCAAACAAACATACCCAGTGGCACCCGAGGCATGCTCCCATTGCTCTAGCCACGCAATGGAAAACACCATTCTGCATCTTGACACAGCCCCACACACTGCCAGACGTTAAACATCTGCAGCTTCACACACCTTCTTTAGCTTTGGGAATGGAAGCTGTCTGAAAAAATGACAACGAATCCTGAATTTATGTAACTGAATTCCTGTATCTGCAGTTCTCTGCAGATGAAACCTACTGTTCACCCAATCGTGAAGCAGGAATTGATCTTTTCTTAAAGTTTAACTGAGTTTTATTTTATTTACACTCCAGCAGCTGTTTGGAAACTGAATTTTGCACAAATAGGTTCAGCTTCAGGTTTTTTTCCAGTAAACAGTATTTTGGTATAATATCTTACAACTGGCCTAGCGGGACTCTAGCCTACCACACCAAGAAAACCTACAAGGTTAAGTTCATCTTGGAAAGGCACTGATATACCATAAGGAAAATAAGAAAAACTGTAGGGTTACATGCAGTTAGCTCTGCAAGAACAAACCCCACACCACATTCCCATCTTCTCTCCAGCAAACTCTAACAGGATATCATTTTTCATTTCCTAACTCTCCTCTTTCTGTGCTACAGTCTTTTTTCTGGATAATAGTGGTTCCCATTTCAGGATAATAGTGATTCCTGTTTCCATACTAACTGATATTACTTTACACAGTTTAAAAAAAGGGCAAGTAAAAAAATGTACGCATGTGGGAAAACCCCCCAATCCCTTATTGCATGAAGGGAGACTGGCTAAGGTTTTAGACTAGGGAGTTAATTTATTCCTGTGGTCCCTGCTTGTATTAAAGGATGACAACTACACTTTGCAGATTGTTTTAACACTGAAATATATTACCTTTGGATAAAAAGCTACTACATAGATGTAAATAACACTTTAACTTCATGAAAATATTTTCCTTCCCTTTTAAAAATGTGCTCTAATGCAAAGAAGAAGAGTCATCACCAACACACCTTTTGACAGGCCAACTTAACAGACTGGATACTAAACAATGACACTGAGATCAGTTCCCAGAGAATACTGATTAATAGTACAAACCCATCGAGAGTCCACCAGCATTTAACAAATTACCTCAGTGCTACCAGTAACCAACCAGATGATGAAGAGTGGACAGAGGCCAGGAGCAACTGCTGCTACCAGGTGAGAATGTCCATGGCCCTTTTCCTTGGAAGTCCCTCTTGCCACATGAAATAGTTCAGAGAGTGAAACCTCTACCCAATAAGGCAGTATCTGGAATTATTCTACCCTTAAGGGACACAATTTCTTTAACAGATACTACAAAAAAGAAAGCTGTTCCAGACATCATCTGAAACTCTTGTTTTCAAAAACCTACTTTGAGCTATTTACAATCCCACTCAGAAATCAGATGAAACTGAAAAAGGTACACATACCACGTCTATCAAAGCAGGATAAACCCTGTCTGCTTACTCCTATTAGTGTATTACCAGTGTAAAGCTTGGAAAGCTCTTGGATCAGTGCTTCCTTAGTGCAAACGGTTTTATAAATCTTCAAACCTTAAAATAATAAGAACTACTGAAACAATCTATCAGCTGCACCAGGAAACCAGTGGTCTCATAATACTGAGGTGGCTTAATCTTAAAGGTGATCTAAAAAGGCTTTTTACCTGCCAAAGAGTAATTCTGGGTTCTGTCTTTCTTCTGTAACAACTGACAACATGACTAAGAACTAAAATCAGATAAGAAATTGCATTCCATAAATGGTTTTAGTTGTTTAGAAGACACACTTGGCAGGGCAGGAGAGAGGAGTGAGTAAAGAAATGTGGCATAAGCAACGAGGCATAAAAGAAAGCTATTAACTATTTCATTCTAAATCACATTTGCTTCTGTAAAGCAAATAAATAAACATACCAATTGTGTCACGTTTTAAATGGGGGGGGAAAAAAAGCCCAAACCCAAGAACAAACCTGCAGAACTTTTCATTTTTAAATTCCACAGCCCACTAAGTTATTCCGTAAGTATTTCGTATTCTTAGTATCCTTCCATTTCAATTTGAACTCCTTCTCTGGGATAAACAGAAACAACTTGTGTTTGTTTTGACACAGAGAACACATTTCACACTCTAGTTTTTAACCCCTTTGTTCTGTGATATGACTTTTCTCAATAACTTCACATCTCCTGAGAGCTTTCCAGACTCCAAGTACTAGCGAGAGTTTGCTCTCTTGGTTAGCAAGGTACAGTAGTACTTAATAATAGGCAATAGTCTATTTTCATAGCTTCTCAACATAATAGTATTTCACTGGAGATCTACTACTGTTTGTTTCTTTCAGCTGATTCTTCT